CGTTGTCGCTTGCAATCTAGATCTGGTAACTCCTGCGGCGCCATTCGTGCCAAACTATATTGTTTTTTTGTCGCTCCTTCGGATCCATCAGCTGCGTGAAGACAGGGAGCCTGCTGCATGGCCAACAGCTTGTTCCTCACATTCCTTCGCCCAAGCAGGACAGAGTCAATAATGCCAAAGCCAACATTGGTTGATGGTGGCCATGTCATATACAGGTATATACATAAACACATACACGCACATATACAAGTGTGTGTGTGTTTATGTATTTATGTATGTATGTATGTATGTATCAGTATGTGTGCGTGTGTGTGTGCGCGCACGTGCGTGTGTGTATGTATATATGTTAATGATAATGAAAAATATATATATTCACACATATATGTGTATACATTTATAGTGTGTGTGCGAGCATGTGCGCACGCGCGCGCGATGTGTGTACGTATGAATGTACACACACACACGCATATGTATATGTATATTTAGGGCCTAATATATGTATATTTTTTCCTCTTTCTTTCTTTCTTTCTTTCTTTCTCAGCAGCCATTCATTCCACTCTCAGTTCAATAATGAGAGGTTATTTGGCAGTACATTTGTGCCACGGCGGCGATCTTCCCCACGACACGTGCGTTTGACCTCAAAGCGATGTTTTTACGATTGCAACTGAAGGTCGGAGTTCAGTGGTATAACCACTGGATCATCGCGGCATTCATATATATAAATATCTATATCTATATCTAAATCTCTCTATATACATAAATGTATATATGTGTGTGCGTGTGCATATATATACATGTGTGTATACATATATACATATATATAAATGTGTATATATAAACACACAAGCATAGAACAGTATATGTCACCTATAGATGTTTACAAAATGTATTGTCCCATATCATCAAATAAAATGTAAACACTCAACTATTCCACCAAGAGAGCACCACAAAATAACATAACAAAAGTGAAATGTCACATGGCGTTTACTCATTGCCGACTTTGTTCTTTAGAAAAAAACAAAAAACAGATGAAAGTTCTAGAAGCCCAGAATACAGATAATACAGGGAAACTCTCCTCCGCGTGTTATTTTAAGTTCGTATTCCCCTGGTGCGCTGTATCCGAGGGGGAGAGTGCAGCGCCAAGGTCAAGAGACCCCGGTGTAAAATAGGTATGAATGGGAGTGAAGAATTAAGCAATGGAAGACAATTTTTATTGATGGTTTGATATCAACATTTTAACGAAGACACTGCATACTATTGCGGAATGATTTGTACTCCTTTACACCAGTTTTACATTTCCGACGCTCTAGACTTATGCAGAATATAAGCGTCAGTAATAAATTCGAACTATTACCACTACAGCTGCCATTCCAGCTGTGTCTACTTCTACGGTACATCAGGTCGCCCAGCCGTCCTCATGTACCCCCAACCAGATCACGCAGAAGCAACCTGGCCTGAACTACGTCACCGTCTCGCCTTCCAAAGCACTTGGCGTTTTGTCCGTTTGGTTAATGAGTACGAATCTCCGCGACCGACCGCTTGCTGATCACTTATACACAGAGACGAATCGAAAGAAGCGAGAATGGCTTCTGTTTATTATTATTTTTTTGGAGTCGGGTATTGCACTTTACCTTTTCTCCCTCCTCCCCCTTCTTTTATTCACCTCTTTACTTTGTTCTTCTGTTTTGCCAGGTGTTGTTTTCGCTGAGAACGTGACGTTGGTGCTACGAGGACCCCGTTCGTAAATATGAATGCAAATGCGTAACGTGAAATTTTGCAACAGGTACTACGTTCAATACTATTACTAGAGTTACCCGATTCTTACATTCTCCTCCTTTTATTCCTTTATTTGTTCCTCTTTCTTTTCTATTTCCTCTACCAATTTCATCTCCTCTCCTCCTACTCTCCCTTCATATTTCCTTTTATGCATGTGTACTACTTCTTCATTCTATGTCTTCCCCTCTCCCACCTCCACCCCTTCCCATTCCCTCCTCTTCCTCCTCCTCCTTCCCCTCCTCCTCCCCTCCTTCTTCCCCCCCTCCTCATCCTCTTCCCCCTCCTCCTCCTCTTCCCCCTCCTCGTCCTCCTCTTCCCCCTCTTCCTCCTCCTCCCCCTCCTCCCCCTCCTCCTCCTCCTCCTCCTCCTCCTCCTCCTCCTCCTCTTCTTCCCCCACCCCTTCTCCTCCCCCTCCTCCTTCCCCTCCTCCTCCTCCTCCTCCCTCCTCCTCCTCCTCCTCCTCCTCCTCCTCCTCCTCCTCCTCCTCCTCCCCCCTCCTCCTCCTCCTCTTCTTCCTCCTCCTCTTCCTACTCCTCCTCCTCCTCCTCCTCCCCCTCCTCCCCTTCCTCCTCCTCCCCTCCCTCCTTCCCTTCCTCCTCCTCCCCCTTTCTCCTCCTCCCACTGCCTAGAATACTCTCAGGACGATATAATAAGCCAAATACTATTAAGACACCTCAGCCACTCCAAAACCTGTGCAAAAAAAAGGGAACAACATAAAAAGCTC